ATGGGCAGAGACCAGAACACCTTTGAGCCATTTCCCTTGGCTGAGCAGCTCCAAAACAGCACTGCTAATGAATTTAACTATCCTGCTTCCCCAAGGAGAGGGCTCAGAGGATGCAAGTTAATTTTAAAATCGTAACAACAATCTATAGCTTAATCTACTCATTTTGCTATCCCACGTTGGTGAGGAGCTCAATTAAAAGTGTTTATTGTTGCAAGAATCAGCTGGGAGCATGTTTTCCTTTGGGGGCTTCCCTTTCCTGAAGGAGAGGCCAGGAAAGCCAATGACTTGCTTCTGCTGAGTTAGAGCCCATCAGAGCTGAGCTGCTTCCCACAGGACCCACAGCTCCTGGCCAGCCCCTGCAGCCTGGGAAAACAGCCATGACTGTAGGTAACTGTGCTGAGGTTTGTGCCTTTCCGGCTGGGCGATGTCTGGACGGATGGAGGAGCAGCACCAGGAGCTGGGCCCTGCCTCCAGAGCCAGGGTCTGTTCCGGGAGTCTGAGGGAACAGGTCGCTGCCTGCTCAGACCTCCCAGACTGCAGCAGGTTAGCACCTCATCACCAAGCCCCGCATGTCCCCAGACCTCCCTGAAAACAGCTGCACCAGCCTGGATTCAGCTCCTCCAGCAGTGACTTCCCAGCCTGGCTCCTTATCCCAAGGGACAAGACGAGCAGGGAGAGGGGGAGGAGACCCGGAATCAAGCTGGTTCAGCCCCCTGCCTAGAGACCTGTAATATACCTTCTCTACAGATAAAATGTAAACACGAAGAGCACACAAATTGCACTTGATCCTTGCATTTCCCCAACCACTGGGCTCACTGTTCCTCTTCTGGGTGGGAAACAGCAGGATGACAAGTGACCAACCCGACTGGACATGGGCCAAACTGAAAGCCAAGTTATTTCTGCTGGAAACACTGACCAAGAGACATTGGGGAGTGTTGTTTGAACTGCAGAGGGGGCACAGGAAGGAGAGAGCTCATTCTCCCCAGACAGCAGCACAGCCCCTGGAGCAGCCTCGGGGCCCTTCACTCAACCCCCACGTGCATCCTCTCCCTCCCGGTGCAGGCTGACAGGAGGGTCCAACTGCAGCAGGTTTTGGGCCACACTGTGAGCATCGCCCCCAGTCATCATCCCTTTTGTAAATCTTTGCCTCCAGCATTAATAATTCACTCACAATACTGGAGACGATGATAAAAGCCCTACAAAAGTCCCTACAGGGCTGCAAAGACCCATTTAATTAACTAACTTCAAGGAAACTTGTATTATTAAGGAGATGCCATTTATGTCCTCGCCAGGGCTCCGGCTGCAGCCTGAGAGCTGCTGACACGCCGGGCAGGCAGCACCGTGCTCACACAAGGTGAGCTATGCCCTGGGTTACCTGATGTGCCCTGGGTGCTGTACCATTTGCTCTGCTCTTTACTGGAGAATATTTGGTTTTGTTCACCAACTGAGGTGTCAGCGCTCAGTGAAGTGACTCTCAGAGCAGAAGGGACATGGCTGGGAAAGAGGTGTTTCCTTCAGCACAGATGGGGAAAGTCACCTTCCAGGAGTTGAGTGCTGGGTGAGAGCTGTGCTCTGCTCTCTAAAAATAACAGCAATAAAAGCTCCTTGAGAGGTTGTTGGGATCTGTCAGGTTGTATAAAAGTGCCCATGGGTTCACCAGCAGGATGTTAGATACAGAAACATCAGCTCTGGATTAGACAAAGGTCCATCCACCCTGTGAACCCAATTCCACGTGAAATGGCATCGACAGTTTGACTCATCTCACAGAAGAGTGCTGGGGAGAGCCACATCCACACAGGCCGCCGCGCCGCCCGGGGCTCTGCTCCAGCCACATGGAGCGATGCTCTGGGCAGCACCCAGCGCTCCCCACAGCCCGCCCAGCCCCGCTGGAGGCAGAGACGGGGCTGCTGGCCCAGGGCTGCTCCTGCCGGAGCATGGCATGGTGCTCCACACCTCCCGCTCACACCTGCACCCCTCGGCCGTGCATCTGGATCACCTGGGCACGCAGCGTCTGGATCCCGCTCAGGATGGTCTTCTGGTGCTCTGGCATGGTGATCCCCAGGCTGAGGACATCCCTGCAACACAAGCCCTGTGTCAGCCAGACAAACCAGCCCTGACTGCCACGTGCCCCGGCACAGACTGTTCCCAGGCCAGAGCAGCACAGCTTCCAGACCCGCAGGAGTGAAAAATCCCCAGCCGAAGTCAGACAGACATTGACCAGGAATTCCGGGGTAACAGGAGCCCGAAGCAAGCCAGGCGTTGGGCAGCTCTGAGCCCACTGCCCTGTGTTGCAGCACAACAGCTAATCAGCACCTCGTGTGGCACCTGGCTCTGCTCTCTGTCAAGGCAGGAAACATTGCTCTCACTGCACCCGCGACACCAGAGTACAGCCAGGAAGCCAGGTCACTTACTGGGCTGTCATCCTGGCCACCGACTCCAGGTAGCAGTAGCCTGCAGCAGTGAAGTTGTCCTTGTACCTGCCCATTTCTATCGCCTCCAGCCACTCGCTCACAGAGCTGAAAGACGGGAAGGCCGAGAAGGTTCGCTCGGAGAGGGGGATGGATGTGCCGTGGGACCTGCCAAGAGAGCGCGCGATGAGAAGGGAGTGGGGCATGGCAGTGGGGGACAGGTAGGCACAGCAGGAGGGTGATCACCTGGGACACACAGAACTGGGGCACTTCGAGGCCTCTGGGCTCTGCACCAGCTTGCTCAGGACGCTGTGGATGTGCGAGAACTTGGGCCTCTGGCTGCGGTCCTTCTGCCAGCAGTCAAGCATCAGCTGGTGCAGGGGCAGCTGGCAGTTTGCCGGCGCGGGCAGGCGGAACCCGTCCTCGACAGCCTTCACCACCTGCAGGGAGGGTGAGGCGAGTGGCCGGGTCAGTGCTGCGGGTCCAAGGAAATCCTGGGGCAAACCTCCCTCCTCTCACCCCTCCCAGAAGCAGTGGCAGCTCCTCCACACACCACAAAGCCATCGCACACCATCAGCGATGGCCACACCGCCGTGTCCCGCGGGGCACTCACGTCCTGGTGGGACATGTCCCAGTAGGGTCTCTCGCCGTAGGACATGACTTCCCACATGACGATGCCGAAGCTCCACACGTCGCTGGCCGGGCTGAAGTGGTGATACTGGATGGCCTCGGGGGCTGACCACAGCACCAGGCTCTTCCCACGCTGGATGGGCAGAAGGGCAGGAACGGTTCATTGTGCCCTGCCTGGCATTGCAGGGTGGACACCGAGCAAACCCATGTGCCATCAGCTCATCTAGCACTAGGAGAACACTTTCCCCTCACTCTGTTTAAAATGGCCCTCCAACTGTATGCTCCATGGCAGTGAGAGTCCTGAAATGTTAATGGGAGAGGAGAATGTCCCCAGGAAGAGCTGATGGCATTTTACACATTCATATTTAATGAAAACCACCTCAGAGCTGCACAAACACAAGTCCCTCTGCCCTGACTTGTTCTCCTGTAATCAGCCATCCCTGCCCTGGCGTGCACAGAGCCCTCTGGACACTCCTGGGAAAGCAGGTGACAGAGACCACCACTAATTGCAATCAACAGCAGGGAGACGTTGACCCCAAAGCCAGAGCAGTGCTGCAGCGAGGGGGGAGACACCAGGGCTCCTGCTGGGGGGGACACCAGGGCTCCTGCTGGGTTCTGTCCTGCGGCTCACCCGCGCACAGCCAGGGCAGGAGCAGGGCTAGGCCACTGCTGTGCCAGTCCCTGGCCAAACGCACTGGAATCCAGCTGAGAAAGACCTCAAAGGTGCAGAGCCTCCGTTCATACGCAAGGAAGGAAATGGGAGCCTAGGAAAAGTGTTGACAACAGAGTGGGAAATGCAGCTCACCATGGTAGAGAAGATGGTCTCCATCTTATCTTCCTGTGGCCGCTTGAACCCAGTGATCTTGCATGCCAGGCTGCTGCTCACCAGGACCTTGTGGGCAGCCAGGCTTTTGTGCACGTAGCCCATCTCGGCCAGGTACGCCATGCCGGAGGCAATGCCCTGCAGCATGCAGATGAGCTGGGTGCCCGTGAACTGCCCCTCGTGTTTCTGTGAAAGCAGAGGAGGAAAAGCTACAGGTGAGCAATGGGACACAGCCAGCAGAGCCCGAGCCAGGCAGGCCCCAGCACTCACCCTGAGAAAGGAGTCCAGCAGGCCATTCCCCATGTACTCCATCACTATCATCATGGTGCTCCCTGCACGGACAGACAAGGAGCATGGTGAGTCCTGATATCGCTCAGGCAGTTTGGACACTGTGGGGGTTAGAAATGTGGGTGCCAACCCTGCACTGCCCAGGTACTAGGGGCCAGGCTGCAAGGAGCTGTGGGTCTGAGGCTTTGCTGTCATTCCCAGCTGGGATCCCACTGAAGTTCCTTTCATCAGGACACTGAACCACATCACAAAGAGGGACAGCACAGCCCAGTGAAAGCACAGGCAATCAGCTCAGCCAGAGCACTTCCTTTCCTAACAGGACACCTCATTACAATCAGCACGTGTGCTCCAGCACCTTTGGGTTTACGTGGAGCTCCATTCAAACACTGCACCCACAGCCTGGCTCAGCACGAACTCCCACGAGGGCCAAAGTGCTCCGTCTCATCTGGTTTACTGACAGAATCTCACCTCAATTCGCTTTCATTATGAGTGCAGGGCTTGGCTGCCGAGCCAGTCCCACTACCTGCAATGATTAATCTAGCTGGAAGCCTTTGATTAACCACCGCAATGTGAAACCAGCTGATCCTGCAGGAACACCCGATCTGCGGGAGCCGAGTGCAGCCCCAGCTGCAGGTCACTGCTCCAGGGCAGCAGCCGACGTCCCCGGGACCCCATACCTCTGGTGATGACTCCCTCCAGGCGGATGACGTTGGAGTGGTCGAACTGGCCCATGGTGCAGGCCTCGGCCAGGAAGGAGCGCTGCTGCTTCTCCGAGCAGCCCACGCGCAGCGTCTGGATGGCCACGGGCAGCTCGCGCTTGCTGGGCAGCCTCAGGCACCCCCGGCAGGTCTGCCTGAACTCTCCTGCAGCAGAGGTGGGTCAGACACAGCCCTGGGGAACACTGCTGGACCCGCAGGACCTGCGCAGCTCTTGCTGCGGCCACCTCCAAAACCTCTCAGCTGCTCTCCCCACACTCTGCTCCGGCGCACGCTGTGCTTTGCCCCACGGGATGAGGGTGAGCTCCCAGTCACACAGCCATGCTCCAGGCTGGCTCTGCCCCCTGGCCCAAGCTGCTTCCCACAGAGCCAAGCACGGCAGGGCCAGAGGGTCCTGCAGTCCCTGAGGCAGAACATCCCACAGCACAGCCAGGCACTCCACAATAGGAGCTGTGGAATTCCCAACATAAAGGGCCAATATTGGCTTTACAGCAAAATGCATGTAGCCATGAGCAGCTTTATTGATTTGAAAATCAGGTTCTTGTTAGGTCAGCAGCGAGACACACATTCCCAAATTCCTTAGATGTAAACATCTTCCTGACTAATTTCTTTCTTGATTTTCCAAACAGCAGTTTGCTTCTGAAAGGTACATGAGGTTTGTCTGAGCTGCTCCGTGCCACAGCCCAGAGACAGCCTCATCTCCTCAGCGTCCTCTCCCCTCCAACACTGTCCTTCAGCTGCAGGACAAGCCCTTCCCTTCTCCCTTCCTCCACCTCTGCTGCTGCTGCAGCTGAATTTATCTTTAGGAAGAGAAGTGACAAAGAATGATCGTGTTTCCCACGTCCTGGCACACAGCAGCCATTAAAGCTCTAGGGCCCAGTCAGGGGATTTTAATTTGCTTTTAAGTTTTAGGCAGCGAAGTTGATGAAAATCAATAAATCATTCGGTTCACGTATTTATAAATAGTTTTCCTGCTGCTGTCAAATTGCCCAGGTGCAGGTAATTGCTGATGCTTTCTGGTCCATGCAGCACTCTCTTGGCTCTGCTCAGTGCCCCAGGAAAACACAGGGAATGTGGAGCCAAGCTCCCTCGCCAGCCCCAGTGCTGACCCTGCTGCAGCAGCTCCCTCGGGACAGGGACCACATGGCAGTGCCAGGAGAGAGGGAGAGCTCAGCCCAGCACCAACTCAGCCCACGGCACAGCCACCACCCCACGGGACCTGCCTGTCCTGATGATCCTCTCGATCTTGATGCTGGCGTTATCCAGCTCCTTGGCAAAGAGGTGCACGGCCTGCATGGGGTCTTCACAGGTGTCAGGGTCCACGTACGTCCTCCTGGTCGGTATTTTAACTGCAGGAAGGGCAGAAGGGGTGGATGAGAGGGACTCGGCAGAGCTTCCACCACCCATCTTGGGAAAGGCTCTCCCAGATTATCCATCTCCAGGTCTGTGGGCAGGACCTTTCTATGAGCAAAGAGAAAGACTCAGCTCTAAGGCTGCTGAGAACTTTTCTGTGGGATTAAGCAAACCCAACTGCTCTGCTCCACTGCCACAACCCCTGGGTAAGGCAGAGCAGCCCCTTCGCTGCAGTGAGACTCCTGCCCTCCAAAGCCAGGTAAAGTGGTCAAGGCAGGCCGTGCCACTCCTGAGGTGGTCTGTGGAGCAAAGAGCATGTGTGCGCTTCATGGGCACATGCCAAATACACTCATCGATCCTGACACCTGAATTCCCTCTGACAACTGTTGTCTGTAAAATTACTGCTGCCCCATTCTCCAGAGTAGCCCTAGAAAACAAGGCTGTTTGCTCACGTTGGTGGAAGCTGATGGAATAACTCATACACCCCATGGAATGCTGCACGTATCCCCATTTCCCCACTGGCTCACGGCCGGTGAGAGCCTCGCCGTGCCTGCCCCACTCAGGGTCATGCCAACACTTCAGAAGTGAGGACTCAGGGCTGCTTTGGCAGGAGCCATTGCTAACAGCAATAAACACAGGGATCCCCACTCACAGTGGAAGTACAGCTCCTCGTCTCCATCCTGGCTGGCTTTGCTGTACCCACACTGCCTGCAAAGAGAATGAAGATGCACACCTGGGCAGCAGCCCTCTGCCCCGGCCCAGACCCCCCTGGTCCATGCCCAGCCCTGCTCACCTCCTCCAGACCATCACGCCAATGGTCGTGGACACCAGCACCGTCAGCCCCATGACAGCCACCACCACGATGATGAGGACAGGGTTCTGCTCGCTGGAGGCCACTGTCACTGTGGGAGGGAAGCAGAGCCAGTCAGCAACACACCCTGGGGCAGACCTGTGGTGAGAGGCACCTCAGCTCCCATGGCCAGTCCGTGTCCTCCAGCAGGGCCATGGACCAGCCACCAGTTTGCTTTTCACCATCCTCACAAAGACTCGTGCTGTAAGAGCTCAGGCTGGTGGGATCAGCCCAACATACTGGGCAAGCACAGACAGAGCAGCCCAGCACTGCCTCACCAGCTCCTGGCTTTGTTAATCAGAGCTGAGGAAGATTCTTGTTTATCAGAGGGACACATCAAAATTTATGGCTTACAAATTGTTTTCCTCCATCACATTAATCCCTTCTCCTCCTGCTTTTGCAAACAGGGGTATTACAAAGCTACATTCTCTATAAAAATTTTATTGGCTTCAATTCATTCTGAAACGTCTTCTGTGTGGCAAATGGAGGCAATTTAAAGCCCTGTTAAACATAATCTGCAGGAGCTGTGCTGAGCCAGCTCCAGCTCGCACTCTAGCCAGGGTGGGGGATTGCCATGAAGCCCAACATCCCTCCAGCCCTCTTTAGGTGGAACAAGATGCTTCTGGACCACAGTTATGAATGGAAATTGGAAAGGAAAAGTCTCAGCAGATAACAGTGACTCTGGTTGCCCTGACCCAGCCAAGCAGAGGATGAGCCAAGTGCCTCCTGAGCCAGGATGGCAGGGATAGGGAGCAGCCGTGGGCTAAGCACATTTTTGAGCAACCTCAGCCAAAGAGCAGAGAGTGCTCTCACCAGAGAGGAGCCAGAGAGTGGCTGCCCTCACTGACACCGCACTGGGAAGAGCCAGGACAGGCATCCTCAGGACAGGCAGGATCAGCCTTGGCAAAATCCAACAGGACAACGCAAGGAAAGCCCGGGCAGTACATGCTCTTAGACCCAGAGTGGCAGAATCAGAGGAACAGATGCTGCTCCATGAAAGCAAGAGCAGCTGGGGCAAGAGCTGTGAGCACAGCATCCCCATGGCCCAGCTCAGAGCCTGTGTCTGCAGGTGTGTGTGTCAGGGACACGAGCCCTGCAGCACTCACACTCTGCCAGCGTCTCCACTTCGATGCCAGGGTTGTGGCTCCCGTAGTCCGGGGAGGAAGATGTTCGGATTTGGAAAATATAGAGGGTACCAGGCTTCAGGTTATTGACCGTCACGGCCGTTGATGTTGTTTTCACAGTCGAGTAGCTTTGATCTCTCTGATCCTGTGAAATAACGAGAGAGCTGAGATGGAGCTGGACTGGGAGCTGTG